TTGAAATTATATTTTGGTACTATATATACATTATATAATAATTAATAGTTATCAATCAATAAGTTATACATTTATTTATTGATGTTTTTACATAGATATTGATTATCAAGATAAGTTTCTTGACAAAAATAAGTAATAAAAATCTCATGTTGATAATCTATATGATATATTTTTTTCCTAAAAAAATTATTGTTTATTTAATCTTTCTATAATTAAAAATCTAGATGATAATTAATTTTTTACAATTAAAGTTACTTACGTTTTGATAATTTTTTTTCCTCATTTAAACTTTATTTAAAAGAAGATCCAAAGAAATAAATAAAAATATACGTAATATATTTTTTAGGACACACCAGTGTCATTGCTGGTGTGTCTTTTAGTATATATTATATTATTAATTATTGATAATACAGTAATAAGTAAATATATTAAATGGACCTACTTGTAGTTTTCTTAAACTACATGTCCACCTCAACGCCCTAAGTATTATGGGACGGATGGAGTAATATTTTTAAATTAAATGCCTTGAAAACGTCAACTTCATCCAACCGAAAATTTGAATTTTCAAATATTCAATGTGATTCAATTTGATTTATAGTTCGATTCGACTTGATTGATAACTCGGTTTGGATTATATTAAATTTTGGTTTTAATCTGAATAATGGGCACCTCTAAAAGCTTCTTTTGGTCAATGATATGTTTTGATGTTTTATTTGTAAATTAAGATGTTTTCTTTTTTGGACATTTTGTTTTACGGAGTAATGTACATGGATAGTAGATGACTAAAAAAAAACTCCATATCAATCAATTAAACGCATTAAAAAAAACAATTACTTGAATACGAAGTATTATCTATATATAAATAAAATAATATTCATTAATTTATGTCCATTAGTACAATCAATCTATTAATACACAAATTTTCAATCAATTAATTACAATCAAATTCATCTTCTGTACCCTAAAATTTGGGGGTGTCTATTTGATTTTCGGTTCGGATTTTGCCAAATTCAATCCAATCCAATCTGCAGAAAAACTTGTATGAACCTGGTTCACAATAATATTATTGTGGACCCGAAGTTCTACATGTGCGTAACAGGTTTTGTATTGAACATAGTGACCCTAATATTAAATATAGTGACCTTAATTTTAACATAATAACCTTTAATAAAATTTGTGTGATTTTTAATATTGTTGCAAACCTGAAGTATGATGTTATGATCCTAATTTTAACCTAGTGACCTATATTATTCATATTGACCAGTATTTTAAAATTTTCATTCAAATTTTTTTTATCTCTTATGACCTTTATAAAAAAATCACTTTTATTTTAACATTTTTTAAATTAATAAAACGACCATAGTATCTCCATTATAAGTGGTCCACAATAAATTAGTGTGAACCGGGTCTATTTAAGAGTTTGTATCCAATCTGAAATAAAATTTAGTTTTTAATTTTCAAATTCAATCCGATCTGAATTTCTCATCAATCCAATCCGATTCAATTCGAATCACAATTCGGTTACATGATTCTTATCTGAAAATCCGAATTAATTAAAATACAAAATACATTGCAAAATTATAGGGCCTAAAGTGTATAGTATTCTATTGAAAACAAAATACATGCAATTATAAAGTTGTACAGTATTGATTAATACAAAATATTGAAAACATAGTTTTGCATAATTTACATTAAGGTAATTATCAACATAATTTTACATGATTAACATAAACAATCATTATTTGTAAAAGTATGGTTTCATATGTTGGTTAATTCGATTTTTTGGATCCAAACAAGGTCAAATCGATATGATCCCAAAATCCGAATTTTTAAAATATTCCAATTCGATCTGATCAGAATTAAAATTTGGATCCAACTCGAATTAATAATTCTATTTGGATTGAATTTCGATTTTTATCCGAATAATGGTCATCCCTAGTAAATTCAATAACTTAATAAAGGAGTGAAAGAGAGAGATGCCATTTCTTTCATAAATATTGCTATTAATTTAATTATCACTAGCTAAAGTCCTGTACCATACACAATTATCTTTAATTTTACATCGAATTATATTTTTTATGAGGTATTAACAAAAAAAAAAAAAAACGTTATTTTTAAACAAAAATAACTAAACTTTAATCTATATCCAATAGCCTTTTTTTTTTCTCTACCTTATAAAAAGTACTATATAACATTACTCTTATAAATAACGTGATGCCAAATTTACCTTTCAAAAAGTGTATTTACATTTATACCCTCATTAATATGTACTTCGTATAAGTTATTACTAATGAAAAATATTTGGACAATTATATCCTCAAATATATTTATTCACGTATTTTCTATCATAGTTGACATGTACAACGTGCACGTTAGCTGCCCTACTTTTTTTTTAAAAAAAAGTTTATATCCAATACCAAAGACATCAAAGTTATTACTATTCATTTTTTTTATATACTTTGTATATGCATCTAGTATTATGTTTATATCTCGACGTAAAAATTTAATAAATCAAACTCGTTCTATCAACTCTCTTTGTTAGAAATCCAGTCAGACGGTCACAATTATTAGTCGGGTACGAAACCCAACGACCTACCTTCACCCTTTCATACATGAAACAATTCGTGCATATGCCAATAGGCTAGTTGATTCAATCTATGCATTACACGACCAAAAAAAAATATGTTTAACTTTAATCTCCTTAATGGCCAATTGACCAGGTTGGTAAAAAAAAAAAAAAAAAACCTTAACGATAAATTGGTAAAAAAAACCTAACCTCAAGCGACAATTTGGTTAAAAAAAAAAACAATCTTAGGCGACAATTAAGCTTAAAATACAAAATTTCCAACATACTACTTGCATTTGCTATCGTTTTCGTGGTTTTATTATTATTTTTTTTTGTAAAAAAAAAAAATTTTCTACCTAAATTTCCAAACCTTTATAAGGAAATAAAAATTTGAAGAGGAAAAAAATATATATAAATATATCTAAAATAATTACCGCTTATGTCATTACTATACATATGTCAAGCTCTTATAAAAAATTTTCCCACCAAAACTAATAATGACATTTTTTTTTTCAACAAAAATAAAATTTTTGAAAATGGTGAATTAATTATTTTGTATCCTAGCAGATTTTATATTTAAAATGACTAATTATGCAAATTCCATTGGAGAAATTAAAGGAAGGTTGGATTGTTTTATTTTCTTATAAACATTATAACTTTCTCCTACTTCGTATATTTTATACAGATTATATGAATTGAGGCTTCCACTCTTTATTAATTAATCAATTTATTAGATTTTGCTTAAATTATTTGTACTACGTACATATTAAACACAAGTAAGCACAAAAAATATTGTTAAAATCGTGCATCGCAGGAGCCTAATCTAGTTAAATATTAATTTTCCTACCCATTATTAACATTTTTGTTTAAAAAAGGGTTGCAAATAAATTTATGTAATTCAAAATTTAGCAAAATAAAAAGGAGATGACATAATAATTTAAATTTTAAATGTAAAAAAATAAATTTCAAAAAGCACAAAATAATTTAATTAAGACTTTTGAAGAGTTTGCCGCAAAAAAACAGATTTTTGGGTCTAAATGTCGCCTATTTTTAATACCAAATTGTCGTATTATGTTAATTTTTTTTACCAAATTATCGTCGGAGTGATTTTTTTTTTTTTACCAAATTGTCGTGAAAGGTCTCTCTCTCTTTCTTTTTTTAAACCAAATTGGTCAATTAATTCTTTACTTTTCTCATAGAAAATTACATAATTATGAAATAAGCTAATTAGGGGTGTCCATTATTCGGATAAAAACCGAAATCCGAAATCCAATTCAATCCAATCCAAACCGAATTATTAATTAAATCGGATAAGATCGAATTGGAATTTTTAAAAATTCGGATTTTCGGATTTTCGGATCGGATCGGATTGACCTTGTTTGGATCCAAAAAAAGGAATTAATCGAAATATAAAACCATACTTTTTACAAATGAGGATTGTTTAAATTAATCATGTAAAATTATGTTAATAATTACATCAATATTAATTATGTATTACTATGTTTTCAATACTTGTATTAATCTTGTACAACTATGTTTTCAAGAATAAAATTTTTGTAATTACTTTTTATTTTTATAATCTTTTTACGCTCTAATTATTTGCAATGTATTTTAATTTGGATTTTCGAATCTGATCCAAATAACCAAATTATAATTCGGATTGGATCGGATTGAATTGATAAGAAATTCGGATCGGATTGAACTTGAAAATCAAAAACCGAATTTTAATTCGGATCGGATTGGATTTGGCCTAAATCCTAACCGAAACCAAATAGACACCCTTAAAGCTAATTGTATTACTTTATACAATCCATGCTTTACACTGGTCAATAGAATAATTTATTATCATATGTTGTAATTGCTTAAAATCTCAAGCCACATGAGTAAAGTTTATTATTCTTACAATTTTTTATTTTTTTTTATTTTTTTTTTTTTTTTTGTCCAGTAACCCCACTTGTTTTAGTTGATGTAAATTTAATTCAGTTTTCGTAAACTCTTCGTTGAAAGTGTACCATTTAAAAAAAAAACAATTGATGTACTCCACAAAAGATACTAAGGGTCTATTCTGATTTACTGAATTGAACTGGACTGAACTGAGTGGGACTGAATTGTTTATGAGAGAAGAAAATTAGAAACTGAAATGAACTGAAGCTGAACTAAACGAAGGTGAAATTAAGTTGAAGAGAACATGTCCTAACACAATATGTATACTAAAAACCAATGTCAACAAAACAAATATACACCCAACTGTAAAAAATTTACATTCCAAGTACATACTTACACTATGCCATTTAATTTACAACTTCCAATAATCCAGTCAATATATCTCCCCCCTCAAATGAACCTCCTCTTCTTAGTTCTTTTCATATGGGTCGATATTTTTCGAAAATTTACCTATTCAAGTGCCCATATTTGCAAGGCATAGGGAGTAACACGAATGAGTGAGTACCACCAAATGCCAATGACTATATTGTATTGTAGGACACCCTTGTTCTCCACTCTACCAGATTCTTAGACAAATTTGACACTAATCATTCAAATCTCGAGACAAAATTATCTTTGTTTTTGAGCTAATTTTTCAAACCCCAAAATCCAAGGACACACACCCTTATGTTTCGTTTTCTTACTCCTTTCAGCATCATCTGCTAGAACTTCTTTATTGGCACCATTTTCCTTACAAACTGTCGTTTTTTCTGCAACCTTTTTTTCAGAAAAATCCAAGATTCTCACTTTTTGACATTACATTCTCACTTCTCACTCAAGATCTATCAGTGGTTCTTTTTTCCCCATTTTTAGTGAATTTTAATTTTTTTATGATTGTATTTTCTGGCCATGGTTCTGTTTTTGGCAGTATTTTTGTGCTTTTTTGATGTGATTGGAGCTGCTGATAGTAATCTTTCTCCAAAGGGTGTCAACTATGAAGGTTTGCTTCTAAAACCCATTAATTTAATCATACTTTTTTCCTTAATTTTTGTTTTCATTTTATATTTTTGGGATTATTTCAATGTTTGTTGTTTAGCTGCAAAACCCCATTTATTGAATCTTTATTATTTGCTGGAAGTTTTGTAATTTTTATGTGATTAATATGAATTTTTTGATTTGGGGTTACATTTATAGTGGCTGCATTGATGTTAGTGAAGAACAAGATGAGAGATGAAAAGTACCATGTTCTTGATGGTTGGGATATTAATTCAGTTGATCCTTGCACTTGGTATATGGTTGCTTGCTCTAATGATGGTTTTGTTATCTCTCTGTAAGTTGCATTATTTTCCAAGTTTTTATCTCCCCAAAAATCACAATACTATTTTGAAAATTTGTATTCTATGCTTGAATTTGTGATTTTTTTTTCCACAGTGATATGGCTAGTATGGGATTGTCAGGAACCCTATCTTCTAGTATTGGGAACTTGACACGACTTCGCTCAGTGTAAGTTCCCTGTTATTTGTTAAGGACAGAGATATAATTAGGCAATAATATTGACAGTTATGGCTCTATTTGATTGAAGAATGAGGAGCTGTTGTTTATGAGATGTTTGTCTTTATGAATGTTTCTGTACTTTCTGTTTTTGGATTACAATTTTGTTTATTTTGTACATTTTCTGAAATTTTTGGTGCATTAAATGAGACCAGCCCCTTCACGAGAATGTGTAGATTTTTAATGAACCATCAGTCTTTACCATTATACAGTAGTTGATTAGTTGATAGTTCTTGCCGGAGATTCCACTGTCGGCGTCATTTAATGCATCTTTGTGTGGATAGTTTACAGTTGGTTTTATCTGTTTTAAATTATCTTATATGGTCCCAACCTATAATTTGATTGTTTTAAAAAAGGGGAGTATGGGTGCTGTCATGCTAATAATAGAGATGAAATTTAATGTATGTGTTCATTGAAATGCATTACATGCTCACTGAAATTGAAGTGTGAAATTATTACATAGGATGTTTTTATGCTGATATTAGACTTAATTTCTCTTCCATTTCCTTAATTTAGTACCTTATATGACGGATCCTAGAGGTACTTCCTGCTTTGCCTTTAATCAGTTGGTTGTTGATGGTCAATTGATTTATGTAGACGGGAAATGACCACTTTCTTCCAAGTTTATCACTTTTCTTACCTGCAAGTATTATAGATTTGAATTCTAATTACTAATCATATTGCTCCATAGCATATTCACCTGCATGCAAACTTCTATTGACAATAACATTTCAAACCTTTAGGCAGGACATAAACCTGAAGAGAATTACAATTTCCTTTAGGTTATGTTTGGATAACAAAAAATGGAAGGAAAGGAAAGGAAGGGAAAGGGAGGGAGACAAAGTTCCTTGTTTGGATAATATGTTGGGGGAGGGAAGGGGAGGGGGAGGGAGGGATCCATTTTCCCTCCTCCTTTAATAAAGACCATCCCTTCAAAATTGGAGAGATTTGGAGGGAAAATGGAGCTCATCATTTCCTCCACTTTCCCTTCCTTCCCCTTCCTCCTATTTCCCTCCCTTCCATTTGCCTTCTAATTTGTTATCCAAACATAGCGTTAATAAAGGCAAAATAAAGAAGATGTTTTAGATATGATGGTTGCTGAATTATCATAGGTGGCCTAGGATATAACTTTATTTCCTAGGCTAATTACATCTTGAAACTGCAGCTTGCACTGGTTGGCATAACTTGTCTAATTACATTGTGCTCTACAGTTCGATGCAGAACAATCAGCTGTCTGGTCCAATTCCAGACGAGATTGGGAAACTCCAAGAGCTTCAAACTCTCGACCTCTCAGGTAACCAGTTTAGTGGTGAGATTCCTGACTCGATTGGTTACCTCAGCCGTCTAAATTACTTGTAAGTATAGCTTTTAAGTTTTGTTTTTTCACCTTCCTTCTAATGTGACCTTTAATATGACTCCTGTGCAATATGCAGGAAATTAAGTAGAAATAAATTGTCTGGACAGATTCCTAAACGCGTTGCAAATCTTTCAGGTCTTTCATTCTTGTATGTCTCCTGTCACTAATATTGTTTGTTATCTTCTGTATGATTATTGTTGGCGCTGAAATGAAATTATGCATTTGGCAGGGATTTGTCATTTAACAATCTCACTGGTCCCACGCCAAGAATATTAGCAAAAGCATACAGGTATAGACCTTTCTACTGTTAAATCTTGTTGAATTTCTCTACTCTACTCCATAGTAGATCTGTGCTTGTTGTTGCTGCTGCTACAAACTATTTGGCACTTTTATAAGACTGACTATTTGGTAGTGGAAGCTACGGAGTAAGAGAAGAAGATGGAGATTAAGATGATGATCTGGAAAATGGATTTAATAGATAGAAGTTTAGTATTGGGGAAGACAAAAAAATTTGGGGATACGTAATAGCTGCATTTTCCTCTTTCTCACATTGGTCTCTCTCTATATATACATGTTCTGCATCCTTTTCTTCCTTCTCTAGTCTTACCATTTCTTTTTACCAAGCTACCTCATAAGACTATAAGAGAATTACATTGTCATTCCCAATAGTGCCCCTACCACCTATGTTACTCGGACTCTTTCATTAACCTCACGTGTCTGTGTCGACACGACACGTGTCGGACACCGACACTTGGACACTTCATTTTTAACTAAAAAACAACTTTTATCAAGAAAATGGGAGAGTCCGATGCTTGGACACCTGTGTCTAATTTGACACTTCATCCGAGTCCAAGTAACATAGCCTACCACTAAGTCAATTTATTACAGCATACTAAAGCGCTATCTAAAGACCTTATTTGTCTCATAGTGCATAGGACTGCAATAAGTCTGTGAAATACAAAACCGATGGGCGGTTTGCGTCCATACTCCATAGAGAACAAGGTATTAAAGATTTCAAATAAAGATAGAGTATCAAGAGACAGAATGAAGAAGCTTCATCCATATAGAGCTTATAGACTGAGGTATTGGTGGGTTTGTATAGAGAAAGTGTGCCTTTCCTAGAAAATTTTACCCTTCATGAAAAATCTCATTTATCTATCATCAAATCATGACCATTACCAATTGGCTACAATTGTTATCCACAATTTTATCCTTAATTTACATAGATGTATCCCCTATCATGTTTTTTCATGAACTTAAAAATTAATTAATTTATAATTATAGATTGTGTAGTTAATTTAGAAATTGCAAAATTTCAGAGTTGATGATGTAATTTCTAGTCTTACTACTTGTGAGCTGATGGAGATTGTGTGCCGCTTTGAGAAACAATAACACTTGTTGCTTTGATACAACTGATATTTAATTATGTAAAATGGTTATTAGAAGGTTATAAAACAACAAGAAGAAACATGCTAGCGCTTAGCCGGTGATAATGAGCTGCTATTGGATCTTCTTTCTCCAAATGTGTTCAATTTGTTTGTTATTATCTGAGGTGGACATTAACACTTTGTATCATAATGTTTAATCACTAAGTATGATTGCATGTTACACAGAAATCGTATTAAATTGTTCACTAATGCTATCAAGTTTTTCTCTCCTCACTATAAATGAGTTATTATGAGTGACACATTGCATTTGTATGTAGTGTGACAGGGAACACATTTCTTTGCTCTTCTTCTTCTTCTTCCCAAGTTTGCATCAATGGAAAGAAGCCTGAAAATGGTATCTCTCTCTCTCTCTCTCTCTCTCTCTCTCTCTCTCACACACACACACACACACACACACACACACACACACACACACACACACACAGACTCACTCACTCTCTCATTGATTTACTTGTGTTACCTAATCTTTTCCAGACACAAGTCATACAGCTATCTCAAAATCAAGTCATCATCGTCGATGGGAAATCCCAGTGGCTGTTGGTGTTGGCTGCACATTTGTGATTTTGATATTGCTGATAATTGGATGGGTCCACTACTACAAGTCCCGTCTTCTCATGACATCATATGGTATTCTCTGAAGCTAAAATATGTTCATCTTTTTCTTTTTTTTAGTTTAATTTATAATTTGTTTGAGTGTTTATATGATGATAACTATGGTGTGAAAACCTCTGATTATTGGAATATGCAGTGCAGCAAGACTATGAATTCAGTATTGGTCATGTGAAGAGGTTCTCGTTTCGTGAACTTCAAGCAGCTACAGGAAACTTCAATCCCAAAAATATACTAGGAAAGGGTGGTTTTGGGGTTGTCTATAAAGGTTGTCTACCAAACAAGACTATGATTGCAGTTAAAAGGCTGAAAGACCCCAGTTTCACCGGTGAAGTACAATTTCAAACAGAAGTGGAGATGATTGGTTTAGCTTTACATCGGAATCTTCTGCGTTTATATGGATTTTGTATGACACCTAATGAGAGATTGCTCATATATCCTTACATGCCAAATGGAAGTGTTGCAGATCGGTTGAGAGGTTGGTCTTTATTTTCTTTCCTTATCATCTTTAATCATGATTAGTTGCTTCTAGCAATTAATGTTTAAATTCACCTTCACTTTCTTGTTTGAGTGAAATAATTAAAAGTTTTTACCCGTAAGCTTGCAGTTCAGAATGTATATTAATCAGTAGATGGTTTGCTTCTTTATATTTTTGTTACATACTTACATGAACTCGAGTTTGAGCATAGTATTCAATATGGTTACTTGTCAAAGTTTCAGAATCTTACACTTTCTGAAATTTTACATGTTTTGACCTATATTGATACCAGAAAATTATCGTACTTGGGTTTACTTGTCACATATCCGATATAGATATGCATATGAAATGATGAATATGTGTACTGTCTCTTTGTTCAATTGTGTATGAAGTACAAAGTCTACAAACTATGCTGTAACAGTAATCTTTGACTTTATGATGTGGATCTGCTTTCTAGCTTGCTCATTTCTTTTCATGAGAAAACTTGCATATCCAATGCTTAATAGCTGGATATGTAAGCTCTCTTACCATCAGATGCATTTTGATGAAGTCTAGGAAAATCGGTGCATTCTTACTGTTAATGATAAATTTTATTTATTTATATTCAGATCCATGTGGGGATAGGCCTACTTTAGATTGGTGCAAGCGCTTGCATATTGCTCAGGGAGCTGCTCGTGGACTCTTGTACTTACATGAGCAGTGCAATCCAAAAATTATTCATAGGGATGTGAAAGCTGCTAACATCTTGCTTGATGAGAGTTTTGAAGCTGTTGTGGGAGACTTTGGCCTTGCAAAGCTTTTGGACAGGAGAGATTCTCATGTTACTACTGCTGTGCGTGGTACTGTTGGTCACATTGCCCCGGAGTATCTTTCAACTGGGCAATCTTCGGATAAAACTGATGTCTTTGGATTTGGCGTTCTACTTTTGGAACTTGTTACAGGGCAAAAGACAGTAGATGCTGGCAAAGGTCAGGCTCAGAAGGGAATCATGTTTGACTGGGTAAGTTATGCCCGCTTTACAATTAGATCATTTTATTTCCATTCACATTACATATGCTTGTTTATGAAGAGTAAGTTATATAATCTCCTTCTGGAGTAATTTACTAGGCCATCATTTGATTGGCAATAAATCATGTTGGACTTGGAAGTCCATGCAAAGTGAGAAAAGTACGGAAGAGGATAAGGAAGTGATTCACATGTATACAACTCCCTTTATCGTCCCACCCCCTTTCCAATGGCTTGGCTTGCAAAGCGGGGTTGAGTTGACTCGGGAGGAATTCAGTCCAGTAGGGTCTTTTTCATCTAAGTTACCTACAAATACATCTTACCTACAACAAAAGTATATGTGCATATTGCTTAGTATGTTTTGTTCACTTCTTTGCTCCTTTTATTTATTTTTTTATAGGTGAAGGCATTATATGAAGAGAAGAAGTTGGACGTGCTTGTGGACAGGGATTTAAAGGGATATTTCAATGCTGATGAGCTAGAGAAAACGGTGGAATTGGCTCTTCGGTGTACTCAAGCTAATCCTAGTCTCAGGCCAAAGATGTCTGAAGTTTTGAAGATTTTAGAAAGTATTGCAGGGCAATCTGTACATGGAGATGAATTGCATGCCAGAAGCTCTCTTCCTGAGGATAGATCTTGTATTACCAGTTTCTCTAGGAATTACAGCGATGTTAACGAGGAACATTCCTTTGTATTCGAAGATATTGAGCTATCTGGCCCTAGATGATTCGCATTGTAATTATTGTATGAATGGCAAATAGTCCTATGATTTTGTAAATTGCTTCTTTATCTCTAAATAATACATCAGTTCACATTTTCACATTTGATTCCAAATCATTCATCAAGAAATTGAATTGAAAGGCTAAAATCATCAATTCATCTTGCCACAGAATGGGGTTAAATTCTTAAGGTAGTTTTCTTGTTGGAGAGTGAATTGAATATCAAGCGCTTAAAAAAAGCCCGTTGGCTACTTGGCTATATGGTTCCAACTTTTCACCACACCATCTCGCGTACGGCCGTTGCCATAGGCAACGATTGATTGCCATCTATTTCTATATACTCGCAACAAAATGACTTTAAATACATTTTTTTTTGGGTGTGTATAATAATAGAAAGGGTACTTAAGAGTACCTTAATAGTGCAAACAGAAGAAGTAAATCAATAAATGACAAATTAAGGTCCCATCAAGAAGATGATAATTTTAAACTGTCAGATGAATAAATGGACTAACAATCATAGATATTCCAAAAACAAAAAAACACGAGTATTAATCATAGAGTAAGTTGCTTTCTATTTGCTCACCACAATTTTAAAATCCTATATTATGACTGATCTTAGGCCTCAAACCTTAGCCACTAATATACCTATCAAATAAATATGCACCTAAATATTTATGAACTAAAACAAAGTCAACGACATCCAAAATTAAATGTAAGAAAAAAAAAAAAAATCAAACACGTAACAGCCTAACAGGTGAGCATCCATAATGATCAGCAGCTATATGGGCTGCCACATCATTATTTCCCAAACTACATAATAACAAGCTAATAATTTTTTTTTAAAAAAATTATTTACTTATTTAAAGTGGACAACACATAGTTTGGGACTTTGGGTTAAATGAAACTACATACATAGCTTTACAAAGTTAGGTAGTCTCACCTGAAATATTTTATACACACTCAGGTGTAGCGTGCACCCAACTAACACAAAGTTAGATTTTTTTTCTTCATTTGATGATTAAATGGAATATAATCATCAAAATAAGAACAAAATGTTCATGAGTGTACCATGCACCGGGGTGTATATAACCATCTCAAAAATTACAATCCTTGTAGCTCCACAATGGTGAATTACTAGCTCTAACTATTTTAAATCAGGCAAGAATTTATTTACAACCATTTTGGATGGATGGAAGCGCAATTTCCATCTCACTTTTGGAGTCCTCGGGTTTATAAAATTTGTGTTACTTTAATATGAACTTTTTGTTATTTCAATTTATATACTACCTCCCTTTTTATTTAGGTGACACGTTTTGACTTTAGCATTATTCACACATCTCCCGTTGACCGTGTTTTATGCTTTATACGTAATGAAAAATATAATCATGTGAGATCTTGTTAGATTCGTCACGTTATATACTTTTAAAATATCAACTTTTCATAATTTTTGCTTATCGATAATTAAAGATATTAATAATTGACTAAAGAAACGTGTCAACTAAAAAGAAATGGAGGAAGTATATGTTATTTTTAAATAATAAAGTACATGTTATTTTATATTTGCAAGCTAGTTTTTTTTTTTAATCCAACATTGATCATTTCACTATACTCTAGGTTTATAAAATTCATGTTATTTTTATATGTTGTGAACTTCTATTATATATCATGATCCAGGAGTATATAATACTAACTTTGGCTGGATGCTCAGGCGAAATGCCCAATATAATAATTCCAATTTCCCATAAATTAACAAAATAGGTTAGCTCTATTTGTTTATATAACTATATACTACTTATGGAAGTATATTGTAAAATTCAAGATCTTTAACAAATAACTTTTTCATATTAAACTAATGTGTATAAGTTAATGAATAAATTTATACTCCCTCCATCCCTTATACATGCCTTTTTTGGGGGTTTCAAAACTACATTTCTATTTTTACTTATAGAATGTAATTTTTGACAATATTTTCTTTTTTTGACAAGTTGTCATTATTTTTCTTTTAATTTTTTTTTGTACTTTTGACATCATTTTCCAACGCTTTCTCTCTTCATCTTTTCAATAATGAGTGAAGTATAATACTAAGTACTAAACTTTGCAATTTGTTGCAGATTGAGTACTCATCTTTCACTTGTTGCAGATTGAGTACTAAACTTTGTACTCAACTTGTTTTACCTGTTGTAGTAGGTTATACAAGCAATTAAAAAACTAATTTTTATTAGCTGTAATAAAAACATATATACAAAAAAAAAAAAAAAAAAATTCTTTTCAAGGATTAGTTCAGATTATTTTTTTTTTGCCAAATTTACCAAATTTGCTCAGAAATCTGGGTAAAATCCTTCTCAACTCCAGCCTTTATCTAATCTTACACGCTTTCTTTACAAATTTGATATCTGGGTTTTAGCATACCAGTGTCTAACTCCAGCGCTACTCACTCGTAGACATTGCATCATCTTCCAATTGAAAAACCCATTACTGAAATTACCTCTAAACCAATGTTGAAGAAGCTGTCGAGTTCTAGTTACCTACCGTTTCAAGACCGTATTGTTACGGAAGCTTTGTTGTTGATTCTTAAACTTGTATTTGAGTCTAGATTTTCGTCGAAATCACACAGTTTTCGACTCGGGCGAAATGCTCATACTGTAAGTAGGACTATTAGGAGTAATTTTGCTGGGTATCTTTGGTATTTGCAAGGTGATTTAAGTGAGGTTTTGGAGAATTTTGATAAGGATTTAGTAATGAATTGTGTGGAGGAAGTTGTGAATGATAAAAGGAGTGACCTAAGTGAAGTATAAGCAAAAAAAAATTGCTTAAACCGGTTGAAACAAGTTACAACAGGTTACTTGCCGGAATATTCCCTCCGATTAGTACTCTCCCAAAGTTAAGTACCCAAATTGCCACTTTTGAAAGTTGAGTCCCTTATTTGCAACTTTTGGCAAAGTTGAGTACCCACTATTATACTTAACCCTTTCAATAATTACCAACTACTTTTCTTTCACTCTATCTCTATCTAACCCTACATGTATATTTGTACTTCCCAACCATGACTTTTAAAGAATATCTAAGGCCCCGTTCTTTAGAGCTGCTCTGCTCTGCTTCAATCTGCTCTGCTCTGATTAAAAATAATTCTAATAATAATAATAAAATATGCTTTGCTCTGCTCTGCTTCAATCTGCTCTGCTCTGCTAAAATCTGCTCTGCTCTACCCAGAAGCTCAAAAGAACAAGGCCTAAGTTCATTAAGTTCCATGTAAAATGAAAAATAGACATGCATGTAGATAAGGATAGGAGAGCGAGTACGGAGTAATTGTTTGTAGGAGAGAGAAACTTCGCAAAAAGATGTTACTAATAAGTAAAGAAACAATAAATAATAATGATTTCATGTTAAAACTTAAAGTTTTTGCAAGTAGTCAATTGAAAAGAAGATATGAGTACAAATGTACAAATACAATAATTGTGCAAATATTTTCAAGTAGAGGGATGCTAAGAAAATTCTCCGTTAAGTAGACATTTTTTTTAAAAAAAAATTATCCATTTATTGGTTTGGAGATAGCCACAAAAGCAATGATGTAGACGTGATTTGATTTTGAGAGTACATCCTAAAACTTTAACTAAATAAGGTAGTTGACATTCATTCTCTATAATCATTGTATTCTAAGTTCCTAACACAATACAATATTCGCCTTAACTTTTTATACTAATTAATTAGTGTAAATGAGGTTAGTTGAAATATTTTGGTCACTTTTCTTACTAATATATACAACAAAGTGAGAGTGAGAGCGAGAGATAGCTTAAGTGGTTAGAGCTCCTTTTCCGATTCCAAGAGATCTTGGAATTGATTCTCATCACTCGCCCTTGTGGCTCTCCAAACACACACACACACATACACACACACACACAAAGGGTTATTGTAATTTATAAAATGGTAATATTATATGTAACCCTTAGGACTAAGAACAAACATGTTATTTTCTAATAATTTGATATTAATTTAGGAATACATGCTAAAATCACACGTAAACTAATGTAACTAATGTCATATTTTCGCGGCTTGTGAAAAAAGTCATATTTTCATTTTTTTTTCCATTTTTTGCTCCATATATATGTTGCCCCGAGGGTTATGAGATAAATATATTAGGGTAACATAATTTTTTTAAACATTTTTTGTAACTTTTTATTTATTTATTTATTTTGTGCGCACACACTTTATGAAACTATTGTTGGATTATTCTTAATGTGTACTTTCATAATCTTTAACTCTTGTCATTCTTTTTTACATGTATGATATATAAATTTCAAGAGTCATATATAAGGAGCTAAAAGTGAAAGTAATAAATAAAATAAATATTAATCACTAATTCTAATATGAGATCAGCCCACAATGTAGCCACTTCACATAAGACAATTTATTTATTGAGTAATAAGGGTTGCATATGGGGATGATCAAATGGGGTTATTAAGATGGATGAGGTTATTCCAATAGAAAATATTGGGGTACTCTAATAAGCTAGTGTATTTTTCCATTAATTGTTAAAACAAGTTATATATATATATCATACAAATGAGATAACTCTTTATTATTGTTGTTGTTGTTATCATAAAACCTACAAAGTCAATCAATTTATAAGAAATTGGTGGAAAGCCGAGATATTATTATTATTATTATTATTATTATTATTATTATTATTATTATTATTATTTGTTTATTTATTTATTTATTTAATTTTTTAAATAAAAATCGATGTTACTTAACCAGCTTGTATATTAAATTGAGGTTTCTAATATGAATAAAATTAGGGTATGTTTTGATTTACTGAACTAAATTGTTTATGAGAAAAGAAAGTTAGGAACTGAACTAAACAGAAATTAAGTTGAAGAGAACATGTCTTAAGTTTACTCTTACTTATAAATGAGAAAGTTGATACTCCGTATTAATAATCCATATTATACTAATAAACAAATGTGACCACATTATGTTATAACCATACATTAAATATGCTGAGCTTTAATTTTGTCTACCAACATGTTATTTGGCCATTTATTTTTAAAAGGAAAAATTAGAAAATAACACCATAAATTTCTCAAAAATTGGATTATAATTCCACAAAATATCAGACATTTATTATAACACCCCAAAAAAAAAAGGATTTCACCACCATCTAACAGATTTTTGGATGAAATTCGTTAGTAGGACCCACCAATTACACGTGTGACTCATTGATTAGTTAAAAGAAAAGGAAATTTTTTAAAAATAGCAACCTAAACCCTTAACTAGCCCCACCATCGGCAACCCTGCCACTACAGCCGATAACTCCTCTACTGATACCATCCCCACCGTCGGCACACCCAGCCACCGTAAACCCCACCCGAGCCAACCTTGAAACACCCCAACCTCCGAAAATCCCACCAACCCAACCTTGAATCACCCTAGCCATTGAAAACCAACGTTTAAACCCCAACGATTGAAATTAAAACGACCGAAAACCCTAACCCAGATTTGCCGATTTTTTGGCCATTGTGCGAGTTGGTGCGATGCGTGAGGTGGTTTTTTGACTTTTTGGGTATGTTAGGGGAGCGCCAATTGGTTGGGTCTGTGCGGTGCATGAGATGGTTGCGCGGCTGGTTTCCTTTGGTGAGTTGGTGCGGTGCGTTTGGTGGTTGTGGGGGCTAGGGTGATTTTCGGAGAAGATGAATGGGGGAAGTGGTGAAGTTGGTAGTTTTAGTAGGGTCACGGTGTTCCGACGACTGGATTTGGGCCGTCGACGACGGGGGGTAGGTGGTGGCTGGGTTAGGTTAGGGTTTAGGGTTTTTTTTTATATTTAAAATATTATTTTTTTTAAAAAAACAATCAATGAAGGACATGTGTTTAGAGTGGGCCCTACTAACGGATTCTATCCAAGATTCCGTTAGATGGTTGTGAAATCTAATTTATGGGCTTTCCTCTTGTGTTATACTCCCTCCGTCCCCTTTTATAGTCACTTATGCCATTTTTTGTAACCCAAAATGTTAGTCACATTTGTTTTTTCAAGTGCTATTAATATTATTTTTTTTTACCAAAATTCTCTCTCAGTTGTAAAAATATTTGTGTAAATTTAACTTTCTCATGTACTTTAATTACTTTCGCTCTCTACTTTCTTGCATACCCAATGTAAATTTACTTTTTCAATGTACTTGTGCTACTTCTTATGTATTTTTATTAATTCTCGTGATTTTCTACCAAAAGTGACTATGAAAAGAGAACGGAGGGAGTAATAAAAATTTGAGATTTATAGTGTTATTATCAAATTTTTGAGAAATTATGATGTCATTTTCTAATTTTTCCTTTTATGGTGTTAAAAGGAAAAATTGACCTCAATAATATCATCTACGGTTTGGGTGCATCTAAATGGATGCAACCGGCATCATGTACTATAAGTTTGGGTGTATGAAAAGACACAAATAACATTAGAAATGAAATAAATACTCCCTGTGTTTTTTAATACTTGCTCTACTTTCTTTTTTCGGCCATTTTTAAATACTTGCTCCATTTTCTTATTTGAAAAGCTTTTATAATATTTAATTCAATTCTCTCACTTAGTGGACCCTATATAAATCATATTTTATTAATTTCATATTCTCTCTTCTCCGATTCTCTCCACTATTTTTGCCTTTTACTACCTCCGTTACATATTATTTGCAACGATTAGACATTTTTTCTCTCTAATTTATGTCAAATCGTTGCAAATAATATGTAACGGAGGTAGTATAATTTTTTTATTCTTCCACCTACCCCACAACATCCATATTTTATTACTTTCTCCAATTTCTCCTAAAATTCCGCACATGGAGAAATGGAGCAAGTATTTAAAAATGGAGGGAGCGTACAATACTATTTCTTCTACTACCTCCGATTTTTTTTAATTACAACTTTGGTATATTTTATATCTTTCAAATAATACCCAAAATTGCAACTTAAAAAAGTCGGAGGTAGTAATAAACATTGGAGTAGTATGTTATTTCTCGCACATATGTCCAGGTAGTTCATGAAATGATCAAATGACATAGATAGATCATCATATGTGAAATAAAATAGTAAATTGTGTCATTTCATATAGGTCATTATTGCAATAATTTCATAATTTGTGTTCTGGACTACGCCCAAGCTTATAGTTCATGGTGTGAGTTGCAACCATCTAAGATTGTGTTATTGGGTTAGACTTGGCAATTTTGACCTAGATCTGATGACTTGAAAATAAATCACCTGAAATTGACATGATTCGACCTGATCCAAAAAAATGGAGTTGACCCGATCCTGACCTGATACCTGCAACGGTTGATCCGAAGGTGACCCAAACCTGAAATGGCCCGACCCAAAATTGACCTGAAATGACCCGAACTAAAATTATCTTATAATTGAACTAAAAATGTCTTGTGCCAAAATAACTCAAATAATTGTTCATCTTCAACTGTAGCCAAGCTCATGAACCGAATTGATAGTTCTTATTATAGCAAAAATAAAATATAAAATTATAAACATAACCTGACCTGGCATACTTGATTCAAAAATGACTCAACCCGAAATTAACCCGATCTACATATGACCCGAACGACCTATTTTCCAGGTCTATATTGGCTGCACACAATCCATAATTGGTGCTATCAAGACGACTTTTACCTTAAAATTAAGGAAAAGGATATACATAACCCTTGTATAGCAGTATAAGAAGCTAAAAAATAAAAATAATGGGAAAAAGTTAACATTATTCGGTTATTCCTAACTTAGAGCCTGTTCACATTTACTGAACTGAACTAAACTGGACTGATTAGAGCTAAACTGAACTGAATTGAACTGGACTAATTGGAGCTAAACTGAATTGAACTTAACTGAACTGATTGGAGCTGAACTGAGCTGAAATGAATATTTTATGAGAGAGGAAAATTAAGAGCTGAACTGAACTGATTGGAGCTGAACTGAACTGATCGGAGGTGAACTGAACTGAAATTAAGTAAATGTGAACAGACCCTTAATTCCATTTTAGGAACTATATTTAATGCTTATACATAACTCTATGCAACATATATCATTACACTAAAATTAATTTAATTTTAGTGAATTAACTCAATTAAGTGCTTATTTTTAAAGATTATTAATGCTTAAAACCTCTTAAATTAAAATATCTATTTACAGGTTTATTGGGATTCGATATCCATACACCAAGTTGTGGACAGAATCACCGTTGCAACATAAATTTCTCACATGGTGGACCCACCTTTTTTTTTTTTTTATTAAAATAGTTCTACTAATATAATATAAAACCTTAAAATATTTGTGGAAGAATCATCAACCATAAATTACCATATGAATATAAAATATTAGCAACTCCCTTTTGATTGATGTAACAACTCAACTCACAACTCACAAGATCCATAAAACTCCTATAATGGTATTAATTTAACTTCAATTTATATTCCATAGTTCTAAGTACATTAATTATGTTTAAAAAGTTTCTGTCCTCCGAGTAATTTGTTTAAATAGAATATTTTAAATCTTGAATTTTTGTTTCATACAAATAAGAAAATTGAATTTAAAAAAAAAAAAAAATAACCCATCCCAATTAAGCATCTTAATATTTTTTTTTTTTTTTTTTTGAGGAACTTAATTTTTTTTTTTTTTGAAACACTAGTATCTTAATTTTCGGTATTTTTTATCTTAATAATTATATTTAAAATTTAAAATCAAAATTCCGTTTTTTTATTTTTTATTTTTATTTATTTATTTATTTTTATTATGATTATAGCTAAACACCAAAAAAAAAAAAGTCTTGAATCCGTGATTGGATCCATACCTTTTTCTTTTACCATTTTAGAGTATTCTTTTGATTTCTTTCTTATCCTTCCTTCTCATAAAAACTTCCATTAAATCCCTAATAAAATAATAAAAAAATAAATTAAAACCAATATTTTTATGCTTAAAATCCTAGGTCAAGGCAGAGTCACAAAACAGAGGAGAGAGAAACAGAGAAATTTACATTACATTTCTAAAACAGAGTTCCTTTCAACACTTTATTTATATCCTCTTTCAAATTTTAATAATCCAATAAATTTCACACAATTTTTTTTATTATTATTTGTTTTAAATTTGTCACAGTTTAGAATTTTGGGTTTTTATAAGTTAATTAGAATGAGCTGCTCTGTTTTTTTGGTAAAAGTTTTGCATATTATGTAAATTGATAACGAAAAAAAAATGATGGGTTTTGTGAAATTTAGCGATTCAAGATAATTTTTGATTTTATTTTATTTTTATTTTTTTGGGTTTTGAAAAGTATAAATTATGAGTGAAGAAGAAACTGTTGTTGAGCTTCAAGAAATTGAGAAACAAAATTCAGGTTGTTCAATCAATGATACAAGAGTTTCAGAAACAGTTATTGTAATACAGGAAAATTCACAAGATTTGAGTTGTTCACAGGAACCAGTTGGTGTAGTAGTTGTTGTTGTTGATGATGTTGTCAGAAATTCTGAAAACAGATCAAGTAATTCAGGGGAGAGTTATGCAACAGGAATTGTGAGTGAAACAAAGGTTTCAGAAAATAAAGATGAGAAAAAACCACGAGTTGTTGCTGATGTAAAATGTGGAGATGGAGAAGTTTGTGATGGTGAATTGTTGTGTAGAATTTGTCATTTGAGTTCTGAGCAACCATGGAAGTTGCCGCTTTTCGCGGCGAAAACTGATCTTATAATGCTTGGTTGTGGCTGTAAAGGTGAACTTAGTGTTGCTCATTTTTATTGTGCTGAGGCTTGGTTCAAGCTCAAAGGAAACAGGTGATTCTGATTGCTTCTTCTCTAAATTTGTCTCTTTTTTGGTCTTGTTTTGTAATTTGTACTTGTAATGTCCTTGTTTCTTCACTTGATTTAGTATGTGTTTGTGTTTGTTGTTTCAAACTTGACCTTTCAATTGATAACATGTTTGCATTGGTAAATCTATTTACTTTGAGTATGCAATATTGGTACTGTTTGACATTTTACTTGTGATTATTAGTAGTTGACTATTTTGCTTTGTTTTATGTGGAGTATTACTGACCTGTATTTAGTCTATCATTAACTATTTGGTGTTTACTACGATATGTTTGGTAAAATCAATTATTGATTGTTTGCAATATACGTTCGGGTTTGTTATTGTTTGAGTTTGAGATTCAACTTTTGATGTTTGTAAATAACTAACAAGTTGTCATTTTGATGGACCTTGAGAGTAACATACAAGATTATTGTATGTAGCTTTATTGATACTACTTTTACAAGTTGAAGTGTTTAGTCAACAAAACTGATACTCCATATTATAATAATTTGGTTAAGATTAATTTAAAACTATATTTCTGGCTTTTAATCTCACTTTTGACTAATTGCAAATGATCAATATAATCTATTGAATTGTAGATGCACCTTTTACTTTTTATTAAATCTATAATTGTAGATGCACCTTTTACTTTTTGTAATCTATTGAAGATTATTAGTCAAAAAGTATGGAATTTGAAGATAATAGGATTCTCCCTAGGTCATATTCATAATGGACATGAAATTAGAAAATTTCATTTCGACTTAAATAAAATTGAAATTATATCGAATGACTCATCACTTGAATAAGACCCAAACCAAGTTAGGCATGAACCAACTTTGACCCCGGTCTAAACAACTAGTGTGCATCTCTATTTGAAGACATATACTTTCAAAAACCAAACCTTCATGTTATCATTTATAAAGCATATATAGTGTTTGAATAGAAGTGTTTAAGGTTTATCCTTATGAAACCTTTGAAAGCATGTCAATGGTCTGTTCTAGACGGGGACGTCGTAGATTCATCCAGAATAACTCATTACATGTTTTTTAGCTTATTAATTAGGACATTAAAGTCAACATAGTAAAAAACTTGATAGTCCAAATAAATTAAAGTTTTCATATGAAAGCTGGAAAACCGTGAACATGTAGTAGATGAAATGATTAAATGACATCCCTTTTATCACAAAGTTGTTGCTTTGCTTTCTCATGAATAGCTGTGTTCTGTGTTTGAAAAGTATTGGAAGTTCCACTTGCATACCTCTTTGTATAAGCAACTTATCACGCTCTTATGAGTATTATGTTGCGTAACAACTTCGGAATTCTTAAAAGTTGATCAACCACACAACAGAACATGTTGTTTTCTTGAGAAAAATCACCTTTCTATCTTTGGTCTCAATACACTGAAAGTAGTAGTTCCAAAGTATCTCCTTCCTACAACAAAAAATGGTACCTTCTGTGCCCCTCGGTATGTTTTGTCGTGTTACAAGTCGTATTACAAGTATTACAGTACTACAATTGGATAACCTACAATTTACATTAAGGCCAGATACAAGGCATCCCAACACGGCAACACCTGGTTTTTGCTTGTGTTGAGAGTTGGGACAATATTGGCAATATTTGTTGATGACTTTTATATGTAATTATACTTAATCAAATATGATAATAGTCAGATATTGTTTAAAATCCAATCAATGTAAGATATCTGCATTAATGTAGTTGCCGGTATATCTTTGCCCTCCTTGAGCTATACTAGACTTGTTGAAACTTGATGTTTTTTAAAATGCCTTTGTCATTGTGTAGGATATGTGAAATATGTGGGGAGATGGCAAACAATTTACGAGGGGTGGGGAACGAGAGCTTCATGGAGGAGTGGAAAGACAGCAGAATAAATGCCAATGCAACCGATTCATCAAACATGGGTGCAGAAGGATGCTGGCAAGGACAACCGTTGTGTAACTTCCTTATGGCATGCTTGGTCATCGCGTTTGTTGTGCCATGGTTTTTCCGCATTAATATGTTCTGAGTATGTATATTTTTTCTTCTTAACCAAATAATTTCTTCTTTCCTAGCCGACTAATGGCTAAGATTTTGGTGAAGGAACGTGGTGAAGTATTGGGACATTTATTCACACACACACATTTTTTACTTCTGAGATATGAGAGTTCATACATTCAGATATTTGTAATGGGTGCTTTGGATTTATGAACAACAGCAGGTTGTGATTTTAACTGTATAGTGGTATAGATGGTATTTGAACCCATGATTCGGGGTTACTCTATACTGCTCGCGATATCGTCAAAAATATACATGCCTGACTGAGATGTGAATATTGTTGCACACCAAATCACCAATGTCTTAAGAACTTGATCTAGTATACTGCATGACTCTGGGCTCACGATCCTACACCGGGTGCCATGCCACTTTCCTGCACGAAGTGACTCGTTCGTTGCTCTTCCTTGATTGACAGAATTACTACTTTATACACATTTACAATTAAGGGATAAAGCCATTGTATATATGAAGTGTAATGAAAGATCAATAAATGGTTGTACTCTTGCATAACATCCAACAATTCTCTGTAAGAGTGTTGATTCTATAGAAAGAATTTGTCAATTGCTTTGGATTAGTAGCTTAATTCATATCGCCTTTTTCTTTGCATCCAAAAGCAGTATTACGAATTTATGATGCTTTATTATTTCATGTAGAAGGTAGAAATAAACTCTTACAAAAGTGCATTATAAGTTAAGATTAACTATCTATTCACTATCACTAATCCTTCATTGTTCTTGCTTGAAATAACACAGAGATGTGGCACCATTCTCAAATCTCACTGATTTACTTATTATCACTCTAGTTGAACTTATTAACCATAAAATGAACTTAGATAGGTGCCTTTCTTTTTTTAAGGTTATTGGAGGAAGGAGGTATAAGGAAGATAAGTTCATATACTCGTAATATAAGTTCCGATAAGGTCAATAAAGGTTACTCAAGTTCAATTTACTACTAAAATGTGAGAACGTGACTAAATAAATGATATCCAAGTTCATTTAATAGCTAATAACAAGGTCTAATCCGTTTAGTCTTAGAACACACCGGCTGTTTAGTCTTTGAGGTAACAAGATTTGGTAAGTTTAGGTTAGTTCAAATAAGTGATATTAAGGTGAAATGGACACACCTTTAGTCTTTGCTTGACCAATCTGTTTCAGACAGAGTACAATTGTACATGACATAATTTTCATCACTCAGTTACTGATTGACATAAACATTCAAATGGTATTTATAGTTGTTTATCAGCCTTAACTGCTTAACACCAAGATACACAAAAAACCAGTTATCATATCAACAAATGAACATAAATACAAGAATACACTTTCAAATAGAAAGGTATTAGTACAAAAGAAAGCCAATATTTCGAGCAACAAATGTTGCATGACAATGAGGCTGTATGAACAGAATCAGAGAAAGCTAGATAGAAAACCAAGATTGATAATTTTTTATCAGCATCAAAGTCAGCTTTACTCCGTTTTGTTGATTACTGGAGCCTTCAAATGCTGGAACTTCAATCATAGGAGACTAAAAAACATTACCTAGGACTTTAGCAGTTTTACAAGCTCACTCTTCTTTAGTTTCGAATAACCTCTGATACCCCGTGCTTTGGCGAGCTCTTTGAGTCCACTGAGCTTCATTCCTTCAACATTTAAAGACTCTCGGTCAGCTTCTGAGCTTGACTCCTTATTATTCAACTCAACTTCATCGCTTTGCAATGCTGTTGTCAATGGAATTGGAGACTTCTTCACGAAGTTGGATGGTGGACGAGTAATCTTTGTAGGAGGAGGTTTTGGGACATATATTGATTTCTCCTCACTAGTTTGTTTCTTGAGATTGAGCTCTTCACTATGCTTCAATTTTGAACTCTCAACTGTCAAAAGGCGAAGATTTTGTACACTCACAGGTTAGATATTATTCAGATTTTGCTGTTGGATTAGCAGATTGGTAAGCTTTAACTTTGTAAGATCTGATCTATCATAAACCAATTCAATTATTCAATCCAATTTATCCAGAGTAGGCTATGATAATCAAAATAACATACGAGAAAAGCATTCTGAAGATACACCGGCAATGTTACTGAGTACCACTACATGTGAATACTTGCATACCTATCTAGTGGTGAAAAGAGGCTGAGATGACTACTAATTCACCTTTTGTTTCCCTGGTTGATTGCTGAAGAAATTCCAAAACTGAGGTTTCAACAGAAGAATCATCATCAATTGTTTGGGTACTCTTGCTATAATCCCCACTTCCTGATTCTCCTTCAGAGATTTCAATCTGTATGCGTTTCAACAACGCTATTAGTCTTTCCCTTCTCGAGGACTTGCTGTCAGATGTTATATGTGTTCTAAACTCGTCCTCTTCAAATGCTCTGCCTGAAAAACTTTTCCTGGAGGAAAGATTACCTCCCCAATTAGGTGTGTAAGCTCTGATGCTCGAGTTTTTATTATGAAATAATAGCGTCTTGCAAGATGCAACAGGCAGTAATCTGCATACAGTCTCTGCCAAATATAACAAGCTGCATCAAAAAATGACGACTCAGTTTTCAGTCCCAATTACGCGTACATTATTGAACCACAACCCCAATCAGAATTTGCAGCCTCTACAGTTAATCTTTGAAGCTAACACAGAGCTGCAAGCACGATCATTCTTTTAATATAAATGGTAAAAAGCATGGAATCAGAACTCGTCTATATAATCATCTCTGATGTTATTTGCTATACCTTCTTGTGTTTTTTAACATAGCTTTCAGGTGAATCATGGTACAATTTCATCCTTTCACACCAGAACTTATGTGAATTCATTTTAATTAACTATATTACCAACCCAAATTAAACAAATACTCCATTGTGGTCTTGTGAAGGGGCATTAGGAACATATGGTTTTGGCAAGAGTGCTAAAATTAAGGTTTTGCAAAGTCCAAAACTGGACTAGAACTTGTTGCATCAGGCGGTTTTGGGTACCACTTCTATAGACTTTAACCAACTAAACTGGTTGACATTTAAAATTATTAATCATATTATAACTTCTTATTTTCCAATTTAATCAATGGTATGACAATTGAGTTGAATAGCCTTAAGTTTCTTGTAATCAAAATACAAATTAATTTTATTTTTTTGTTGGGCATTATGATGTTCTAGAGGATATAAAGAAGGGATATACAAATTACAATCAGATTAAAACCCAAAAGAACATCATTTTCTACTACAAATTTAAATGCTACCACACTAGTTCAAATTACACTATCATCTTGATTACGTACTTGTATTAATATCGAATGAAGGCAGTGATAAAATAATTGTCTTTCATTGACACATAACATCCAATTTAGAATCACAAAGAACTATTAATACATAAACTTAATAGGAACGAAAAAGCAGAGACAAGATTGAAATAGAGATAGAGAAAAGGTTAATACCTCCCAAGAATAAGGAAGTGGGATTGTTGAGGACAGAGAGAGCAATTACCTCCATTCTCAGCGGATGAGATTTTCCACTGCCTGTAAGCCTCAAATTTTCAACTTGTTTTTATGTGACCAAAATATTTACAATTTTATTTATTTATTTATTTATTTTTTTGTGAAGTTTTATATTTTGTACTAGTATTTATTACTTATAAAACCGAACACATTAAGGGTCTGCTAATACTTACTTAATTTCAATTCAGTTCAGTTCAGTTCAGCTCTAATCAGTTCAGTTCAGTTCAGTTAAGCTCACCATCTAATTTCCTTCTCTAATAAAATATTTATTTCAGTTCAGCTCAGCTCAACTCAGTTCAGTTTATCTTCAATCAGTTCAGCTCCAATCAATTCAGTTCAGTAAGCGTGAACATGCCCTAAGATACTATAGAGTTGCCGTAGAAGGTACAAAAAAATGTTATTTTGATTGGGAGCTCCTTAACCAGGGTCTAGACAACCCAATAGAGAGGAGGAGAGTTCTTGTGCAATTACAAATTCAAATAAACTTCCGTGCAGTTAACTCGTGGACATAAAAGACATTTTTGCTCATTTTTTTTTTCTATAACACGAGACAATACACTTGTGTTCGTCTGTTCGATTAGATAAAGTGTTGGGTAGAATTGAGATAGCATATAGAATAGTAAGGTATAGAACATTGACAAACTCCTCTCTTTCTCTCTTACTATTACTTCCACTATAATTATATTTCCCCTAGTATAATTCATACACTACAAAGTTGCCCAAATTACAATGTTGAAATCAACACTCAACTAACCAACTTTCAATTTCCCCACATTTTCCCGCCTTCATTATCCGCCATGTCAACCATGACAAACACCTTGTGGGTTTCTCTTCCTCCTCATCAAAATCAAAGACAAAATGCCATCAATCATATCAATAACCCTAATTTATTCTCTAAACCCAGTTCAATTAACATTCCAAAATCATCAAATTCAATCTTATCAACCCCTGTTAAATCCTCAGTTGTGCTGAATAAAGCAATGTCAACCGAACTCGCCGATTGCAATCGCAAAATTCGGCATTTTTGCGAAGCAGGAAAGCTTTCAGAAGCTGTAGATTTGCTCTGTAGTTCACCAGCATCGGAATTGGAGTTGGGTACTTATTGTTTAGTCATCCAACGTTGTGCTGAGCATAAATTATTGCGTGAGGGTCGTCGAGTTCATTCAGTCATTTCGTCGAACAGTTGGCAGGCAGACAGTGTTTTGGGTGCAAAATTAGTGTTTATGTATGTAACTTGTGGAGATTTAGTAGAGGGTAGGAAAATCTTTGATGAAATTGCTAATGAGAAGGTTTATTTGTGGAATATTTTGATCAAGGAGTATACGAAAGCCGGCGAGTTTAAGGAAGGTGTATATTTGTATAACAAGATGAAGGGGTTTGGTGTTGAGCCTGATTCATATACATTTTCTAGTGTTTTTAAGTGTTTTTCTGGATTAGGGTTTTTGGAGGAAGGTGAAAAGGCTCATGGGTGTTTGTTGAAATTGCATTTAGGTGGTAATACTGTGATGGTGAACTCGCTTATTAGTTTTTATTTCAAGTTTGGGAGGGTTGAAAGTGCACAGAAGCTGTTTGATGAATTGCTTGACCGAGATGTTGTAACATGGAATTCTATGATTAGTGGGTATGCGTCGAATGGATGTCCTTGGAAGGCAATCGAGGTCTTTCAGCAAATGATTTGTGCTGGTGCATTGCCCAACTCAACGACGGTGATTTGTGTTCTTGCAGCTTGTGCAGATATTGCTCTTATTAGGTTTGGTAGAGTGGTTCATGGTTATGCAGTGAAAACTGGTTTTCATCAGGATCTGACTTTAAACAATACATTACTTGATATGTATTCGAAATGTGGCTATTTAGATTGTGCTATTAGAGTCTTTGAAAACATGGGTGATCGAAATATTGTGTCATGGACTTCCATGATGGGTACATATGCACGAGAAGGTCGTTCTGATGCTGCTGTGAAGCTGTTTCATGAAATGAAAAACAAGGGTATTAGACCTGATACCTTTGCTATGACTACCGTGTTAAATGCTTGTGCATCGAATGGATTGTTGGATGATGGGAAGGAGGCACATGATTATATCAAAAAGCACAATATGCAGTCAGATGTATCAGTCTGTAATGCTCTGATGAACATGTATATAAAATGTGGAAGCATGGAGGATGCAGAATTAGTATTCAGTCAGTTGCCTGTGGTAGACACAATATCCTGGAATACTATGATTGGTGGTTACTCAAAGAATGGCTTTCCCAATGAAGCTCTGAGTTTATTTCTTCAAATGCAACGTGAAGTGAAACCCGATGGTATAACCATAGCTTGCATATTACCCGCTTTTGCAAGCCTAGCTGACTTGGAAAGGGGCAAACAAATCCATGCCTACGTGCTCAGGAACGGGCATTTTTCTGATCAGTATGTTGCTAATGCACTTGTTGACATGTATGTGAAGTGTGGGCGTCTAGCCTTTGCAAGATTAGCATTTGATAGGATTATTAGCAAGGACTTGATCTCATGGACTATAATGATTGCCGGATATTGTATTCATGGACTTGGTAGTGAAGCTAGTTTCACCTTTAAAGAGATGAGGAGTGAAGGGATTGAACCAGATGAGAATTGCTTCACATCTGTATTATATGCCTGTGTTCACTCGGCATTGCTTGATGAAGGAAAAATATTTTACCTCATAATGTCAGAGGAATGTAAAATTGAGCCCAAACTGGAGCATTACATTTGCATGGTTAATCTCCTTGCTAATGCTGGTAGGTTGACAGAAGCATATAAATTCATCGAAAGTATGCCACTGAAGCCTGAAGCTGCTGTTTGGGGTGCTTTACTTCAAGGTTGCAGAGTACACAATAATGTCAAACTAGCAGAGAAGGTGGCAGAACATATCTTTGAGCTTGAACCAGATAACGCTGCATACTATGTGCTTGAAAATATTTACGAAGATGCCAAAATATGGGAGAAGGTTGAATGGTTAAAGAACAGAATTAGCCATCTCAGACTAAAAAAGAACAAGGTTTGCAGCTGGATTGTAGTTAAGGAGAAGGTTCAAATCTTTCTGGCAGGAAATCCTGCTGCACACCCAGAGTTCAAAAAGATTGACACACTCTTAAGAAAACTAAGAACTATGGCGAAGAACAAAAATCTCTCTCAAACAGCAAAATATACATTGAGTAATGCAGAGGAAGTGAAGAAGGAAGTATCTCTTTGTGGACACAGCGAGATGTCAGCTGCAGCCTTTGGAGTGTTGAATTTGGAACCAGGGAAGACCATACGTGTCACAAAGAACTCAAAAGTCTGCCACGAATGCCATGAAACAGCTAAGTTCATGTCAAAAGCTTGTCGTAGAGAAATTTTATTAAGAGATTCTCAGCGTTTCCATCATTTCAAGGATGGACGTTGTTCTTGCAAGGGTTAATGTCAAGGAGACTATTATTTTAGAAAATTCCCAACTTACAAAAAATGCCTACAGAGCTTTTTTTCTTGTACAAGCCGCTGTTCTATGTAGAATTTAGAGTACAGGAGTCAGCAATGATCAAGAGAAAAATGCATCTTTCACCACAAACTGTACTAAAACCAGTGCTAACGGCACTGCCCCTTGTCGGATTGTAACGCGGCATAATACATTAATATTAGAATCAGCCTACATTGATCAGCATTCAGGAGTCTTGAATGATACAACTAAAAACGTGTAACAGCTGCAATTTGTCTGCACATACTTGGCAATAATCTTCCGAGGAATTATTTGGCAGAGAAGCCGTTATATAAAAAGGTGTAATTTGTCTCTCAGCAGCAATATTATTGTTTAGAGGCTGATAACTGATAGCCTGGCCTTGCTGTCTAAGATGTAGGATCACATGAATCTCTTCTTGGTAACTGATAACTCTGTTTTTTAGTGGATATAATTCATTTGAGTTGTTTGATTAGTTGACAAGTTTAATACGGCAAATTGGTTATGGCTGCCACAGCCCCGTCACATGCAACTTTTTTACGGAGTATATTATTGCTTAATTTACGTCCTTTTGATAATTACTCAATAGCAACACATATCGGTATAATTTTTTTTATCATATACTTGAGAGCACCGCATCATATTGTTGCTTCAAATGAACATGATTAAGTTTGAATAAATTATGAGCGACTACTGGCCGGTTCTCTATAGCTTAATTTCAGTTCAGTTCTAATCAGTTCAGTTCCAAATTTCTTTCTCTCATAAGCAATTCATTTCAGCTCTATTTAGTTCAGTTCAGCCCAGTAAATCAGAACAAACCCTATATACCATCTTTGCATTCAAAGCAGTCAAAACTAATTTGACATGAGAACGACTCGACTAAACCCGAGAAGAACAGACCACAGTTGACAAAACCTAATCGACACACCGATTTAACAGCTCTATTTGCAACTTGCAAGTCTTTAGGAGAGAATAAAGGATTGTAGGCAGGCAAAGCAAAGAGCAAAACAGAAAGGGGCAGAAACCAGGAGGGAATAACATAAAAACAATAATTAACAAGTTCTAAGGTGAAAAAAGAATCGAATTAGGGATTTTTTAAAGAGCTTTTTAGCTTTTAGTGCATGAACCTCCTGCAAAAAGATCCTCTTAATAGATCTGCTATTTTTTTGGTCTTTAAGAATATTGCATCCTCCAATCAATTGTAACGTACATAATAGTTAACCTTATAGAAAATTAATATATCTAGTACTAAAGATTATGTATAAAAATGAAAAATAGTAGCAATGCTAAACATTAACCCCCACAAACATTAATACGAATAAGAGTAACACCGATCAACACATAATTTTATCATAAATCCCGTTTCGAGATAGCAAAACCCAAAATTTCAAGACATGCTTATCAATTAAGAAAGAAAAAACCTTGCCAGAGTGCAAAGAAATACGAAAATGATTGAAGGAAAAAGAAACTTCTGAGCTTAACTAAACTGTACTTTTTACTTGATTACTTGTAATCTACATTAACCAATAAAATTAAAAGCAATAATTACGGTCCCTGTGATATTGGATCAATCCAGCTAGGCAACAACCATAAATATATAAATTTTTTTTGCTTCATCCTATAACATGCATTAATAATTATGCAGCCATAATCTCAACATCCAGTATATAATCAAGATTGACTGGCATATCAATATTTCATTTCATAATAATAATATTTTTTTTTAAAAAAAAAAATACAACAAAATAACAAAAATAATCACACCAATATTGAAAAAAATAATGGAAAAATACCCTTCTGGCTTCTCCTACTCCAATTTTGCCAATTTCCTCTTTTGCTAATTGGCAATGTATAGAGCTAAAAAAAAAAAAATGACCCCTTTTTCTTTGTTCAATTTGACAATTTTCAATAATCCAATCTAATCTAATAATAATAACAAACCTAAAAAAATAAAAATATAATCTCTAAAATAATCATGCACACCTCCTTGATAATAGAATTAGGAAAATAATCAAGAAAACAATAGAAGAAAGAGCAATAGCAACACCAAGAACAACCTTATTAGGACCATGATGTCCACCACCTTTCTCACTTATAGAATCCTCCGAAGTGCTATCATCATCATCACCTTCATCGTCGCTCGACGGCGATTGCGCCGGAGGCGACAATGGGAACCCATTCTTGTCACAAGGAGCAATGCCAAGTTTTAATTTCGATGACAATGTGGTACGATTGTAGCACAAATTGGTATTTTCCCCAATCTTGAAAACAACTAATTTCTTGATAAATGACTCATTGAAGGGTAACACCCCTTGGAAATTATTCTTTTCTAGATTCAAATGCTTCAAACCCTTCATTTTACCCAGAAAACTCGGGATACTCCCGTTGAACTGGTTAGACCCCAGATCAAGGGAAATTAAGGATGGGATTGATTTCAGGGATTCCGGAATCGGCCCAGATAAGGAATTGGATGAAGCTGAGAGGTTTCGCAGCTCAATGAGGTCACCCATAGTAGAGGGTAACTCCCCAGTGAGCTGATTCGAGGATAAATTGAGATGTACCAAGTTCTCTAGTTCAGTAATTGAAGTAGGAATCTTACCCTTCAACAAATTACCGGATAAATCGATGTGCGAAACATTCGCATTCCATGATTTACCCGGCAAACCTCCGGTGAGATTGGCACGAGACATTACGACTTTGTACACCTTACTTAGATGAGCTACAACAATAACAGGACCGCTCGCCTTGATTGGAACATCAATGACAGTAAGATCTGTGACATTCTCCAGCTTACTAAGCCAGACTCCTGAGAGCTTCTTGAGACTGTTTATACAAGTGAACGATTTTAAATTCGAGGCGAGCTCGGAAGGGAAGGGGACAGGCGCAACAGGGCAGTTGATGAACTCGAGATCTTGCAGGGTAGAGAGTGATTTGAGGGCGGTAATTGACAGTGATATATCATCGGAACAATTGATTAAGTGGAGTGAGAGTAAATGGCGGAAAGGTTTCGCAGTGTCGCAACGGATGGCATTGTGTAGGGAGGGAGGATTAGAGCAAGGGTCTTTGGAAGTGGGGATGTTGAGGGATTGAAGGGCCCTAAGTTGTTTTGGGTCAAGAGTTGAGTGTGCGGTGGTTGTTGGGGCGGAGGTGGGTGGTTTTGAGGGGGAAATGGCCGGAGTTAGGGTGGTTATTGGGTGGATATTGTGGAGGAAAAGGGTGAAGAATAGGAGGAGAAATGGAGTTATCTCCATTGAAGAATGAAGAAAATAAAATGGAAGGAAAAAAATTGAGTTTTTTTTTTTTTTTTTTTTTTTTTTTTTTTTTTTTTTTTTTGGGATTTTTGGGTTTGGATTGAATAAAAGTGGGGTTTTTTGGAGGGGGGGAATTTATGTGATGTGGTGAGGATTGGAGATTTAGAGGGTGGAATACCAAAAATGCCCTTTGGGGGAGTTTGGAGGTTTTTTTAGAATTACAAGTTTTGGTTTAAAATTTTGGGTTAAGTAGACTATTCAAGTGTTTTCATTAATGGTTGTTGTTTGTCTTCAGGTTGGTTCTAAGTAGGTGGTTATATCAAGAAAAGATTGACCGTTATTAACTTAATGTGAAACTAACATGGAAGATGGATCTTTGGAAGTTTGGTACTCAATCTACTCTTAAAATAATTGACACTCATTTTATGGTTAATTGTTTTTTTTTTAAAAAAAAAAAAAAATTAGTGTGAAAAACACTTAAGCTATTAAGATCATTACTCTTCAAAAAGCTATTATCCAAATAAATAAATAAATGAAAAAATTACAACATGTTGTCGTCTAGGCCATGTTATATTCACCTTTGAAAAAAGAAAAAAAATTAGATCAAGTAATAAAGATTAATAAGTTCAACTAAACTCAAATCAGTTGACCTTGTATGAAATTATCAAAATGAATTCATGGTGGTAAATGTAAATTTAGATTGTCCCTTTTGACCCTTAAGAATTTATCATTCTTAAACTTATCTTATTTAAATTTATTAGCCTACATTAAAGCTTATTAGTCCTAAACAATAAAAATAAGGTAGTCATAAATCGTAATAGGACAATTGACTTCTATTTGTATATTTTTGGAAAATTATTTTATTATTTGAAAGACTAAATTTTGAGAAGAGAGATTATTAAACATAATTAGTTAAAATCACCTAGACTACATCCACGCAAATGATTTTGATGTATCCCATCATGAAAGGGGAATAAGTGAACTTATTGCACACGAGATATCATTTTCATATGCCAAGTTAGTAACTTCGACGCGGTTGTAAATGCTAAGATTGTAACATACTAACATGATTGTTATAATCTATACGCCTTAACACACATCTACATATTTCCTACACGTGATATCATTATTAATGAAGGCTAATAGTAGAATGTTATACACTTAATTACACTTTCTCATATTTAGATTAGAATATCTAATCAAGCAAACAAGTCCCTCTAGCCTATTTTTAAACCCTAGATTCTTTCTTAATATATTTATGATTGTTGATATATCAAATAAACTTGTCTTGAAGAGAGTCTATTTTATTTCTTTCCTTCTACACCTAGTGGAATAAATACAAGATTACTCAATTTATTACTCCGTAGTTTGTGAGAGTGAGGGATAACTCAAATGGTTAGAACTTCCCTCCCGATTTCAGGAGATCTTATCATATGCTAATAACATACCAAATATAAAACAGTAATTGTGTTGTTTAAATTTTAATACAAATTTTTGGTAAAGACAAATTATAAAAAAAAAAAAAGGAATATACAAAGAGTCCACTATTCATAGTCAATGCTTTATGTACTTGGGGTGTTTGGACAACAACCCTTTGGGCTTTGAGTCTCTATCCGCTAGCTGTAGATTTGTTTATTACATTACCCAATTTGTGTTATGTCCTAATTCCCTAAGACAATTACCACCAACTTACCGACCCTTTTTTAAGAAAATGTTGAGCTTCTTCCTCTTTCTTTTAATTTATTTTTCATTTTTTTTATAGTGCAAATAATGTTCGACTTGAGATGCTGAAATTTTCAGTATACTGTTACACTCATGTATTGTTTGTCAAGTAATACCTATATTTTTCCCTAAAAAAAAAAAAGAAAGTAATAGGCGTGCAAGATGTTGAAGAACGTAAGTGTATGTAAGATGAATTAAAAAAAAGTTGATGTAAAAAGATATACGAGTGCGAGAAAAATTGGTGAATAAAATAAAACAATATGTAGAAAGATGTAATTATTGTAAGGTTAAAAAGATAAATGTTAATTTGTGACTTGAAATTTAGTAGAATGGTGAACGTTTAAATCTTGAGGTAATTTTAATTGGAGGTGATTGTTTGTTTCAAGATATTTCTAACGATTGGTCATATGCTTAATTTCAATAAGAAACGAGAAAGTTATGAGCGTTTTATAAAGAACTGTCGAAGTTGAGAATTTTTTTGACGAGTGCTTATATCAATAATTTTAAAGAACTTCATCTACGAATCCTCTAGGAAAAGTTTTGTAATATAACTTTAGATTAAAAGATTAGCTACAAGCCTATAAAAACACTGTAATTAGGGGTGTTCATAAAAATCCTTTATTGAAAGATTATTTTGAAAAAATCGAATAAATCAGACTAATAAGCAAATAGGTAGCCAAAACTGAAAATACTAACAAAAAATGTTCCATGACGTCCACCAAACAAATTAAGATAGAGGTTACAATTCGGTTACTTTTCGTAATGTAGACAAAACAATTCGTTGTCAATAAAACAAAACAATTTTTTTTTTTTTTTTTTTTTACTCTATAAAGTTTAACAAGACAATTCTTTGTCAAAAAATCTTTTTTTTTTTTTTTTTTTTTTGGTAATAAAAATAATATTAGTCACACTTTTTAACTAGTGTTGGACTTCAAGAGGCAACAAAACTGCTAACATTGAAAATTAAGTCTTTTTGGTTTTGGGCTAACCCAAGATACAAAAGAAGTACTTCGTAGATTGTACTTCGCAGTCCATTAGCCCAGTTTAATTAAGCAAAGTCTACGAATTTGGAAACTCCCTATCACAATTTCGCAAACGTGTAGGGTTGATGTATAAATATTGTTTCGCTTAGGGCATGTTCACATTTATTGAACTGAATTGATTGAAGTTGAACTGAATTGAACTGATTGGAGCTAAACTGAACTGAAGTGAATAAAGCATAAATTAATATTTTATGAGAGAAGGAAATTAGGAGCTTAACTGAACTGATTAGAGCTGAAATGAACTGAAATTAAGCTGAATTGAACAGACCCTTAATCTTCAATGCCAATATTTTAAATTATTTATTTTTATTTTTATTTATTTGTATTTGTAAAGTCCATTAGCCCAATTTATTTACTCTATGTTTAATAAAACTAGGACCTAGCTTAATAAGTTTATACTAAATTAGATTAGTTCCGTGAGGTGCACGGTTTTAACAAAAAAAAAAATAAAAAAATTACAGTATATAACTACAAATACAAATAATCTTTTTAAATTTGTCATAAATTCATTGTTAGAAGGTAAAAATCTTAACAAATATTTTTATACTCGTATGTCATAAGTATGTATAAATAAATAACTTGTTAAATGATCAAACATTTATCTAAAAGACTAAAATAAATTGATAGATAAGATCATACGCCTATGTTGTTAATGATATATTTATAATACATTCAATAATGCTTTCTATATAATTGACCTCTAATAGCCAACTTTAAATTAATAACGCAACATCTAAATTGATGAATAACCAAAATCCTATGATGTAGGAGCTGTTTAGAATCTACAAAAACAAAATGCTAAGGGTCTGTTCGGCAAAATTAGCTGTAGATGTTGGCTATCAGCTTTTGAGTAGCTGTGAGCTGTCAAGTAGTATCTGTTAGAGGTCAGATGTCTAGGTAGCGGTTCATACTATGAGTGTTCGGTAAAAGTGGCGATTCAAACTATAAAATACAGTCATTATTATTATTATTATTATTATTATTATTATTATTATTATTATTATTGTGACGTGTTATGTATCATATGTTTGATAATTTTTAAAATTTTATAGTATAATGTATATTGCTAATAATAAAAATAAATTTATAAAATAAAAGATAGAAAAAAAATACTCATAATGAAAGGAATAAAAGAAATAAAGATATGAATTAGAAAATTTTGACATTATGATTGACCGAAATAAATAACACTGAGTCAAAAAGATAACAACATACTCATCAAAAAAAAAAAAAACATAAAAAAAAGGTTGAACGCTACTTTACAATTTCAAAAGCTATCTTTTTTAGCTTTCAACAACAGCTACTTAAAAGCTACCTTTACCTCTAACATCTACTTAAAACACTACTTCACCAAACACTAATATTATTTTAAGGTAGTGTTTTGACTAGGTCTAAAAGCTAACAGCTACCTTAAAAGCTAATGCCGAACAGGCCCTTAACTTACTTCGTATTTTTTAGAGTTGGTATGAGAGGTCTATCTATTTTCTAATAGTGTTAAGAAAATTGTAAATTATATTTCCGCCCTACTTCCACAAATAAATTACCACTATAAAAATCGTTACGGGCCTGTTATCTTCCGTTGAAATTCAGTTCAGTTCAGTTCAGTTCAGCTCAGTTCAGTTCAGTTCAGTTCAGTTCAGCTCAGCTCTTAATTTACGTCTAATGATATTGCTAATGATATAAAGCCAAATTTCATTATTTTAAGCTCTTATTACAACGACGACAACAACAACAACAACAACAACAACAATAATAATAATAATAATAATAATATTAACAACAACAATAATAATAATAATAATAATAATAATAATAATCAATAAGTAATAAATAATAATAATCATAATCAATAAATAATAATAATAATAATAATAATAATAACAATAATAATACTAATAATAATAATCAATAAATAATAATAATAATCATCAATAAATAATAATAATAATAATAATAATAACAATAATAATAATAATAATAATAATAATAATAATAATAATAATACTAATACTAATACTAATACTAATAATAATAACCAATAAATAATAATAATAATAATAATCATCAATAATTAATAATAATAATAATAATATTATTATTATTATTAATATGTAAATTTGTATATACACATATGTATAGTAATAAATAATCAAAGATCACTAATCCGTAGTTAAAAATCACTAATTAATAAGTTCAGTTCAGTTCAGCTGAGTTCAGTCAATGGAAACATGCCCTTAATGCCTTTCATTTAATAAAATATGATAGCATATGTATAGTTTATCTTTGCTGCTTAGTTGGTGCTAAATTATTGTTTATTTGAAGCCGTCCAAAGGACATGTTCGGCAAAATATAGTTGTGAAGGTAGTTGTTAGCTGTGTAGATAGTTGCTAGTTTTCAACAAGTTGTAGCTATGAAGATAGATAATTTAGGTATGAGTGTTCGGTAAAGTAGCGGTTGACTAATTGTTACATATAAAATCATTAGTTTATATTTAAAAATATAGATTAAATTTTCAACAACTACCTCAAAAGCTAACTCTACTTTCAAAAGCTAATATTTCTATTTTTTTCATAAAAGCTACCTCTATCACTAAATTAAAAGCTACCATAACCACTACTTTGCCAAATACTCACATTTTTTTGTTAAGTAGTGGTTTGACCAAGTC